AAGAGCCGAGAAGGAGACCCAGGAAGTCCCCAAGAGCCCGAAGGAGACCAGGAAGTCCCCAAGAGCCGAGAAGGAGACCCAGGAAGTCCCCCAAGAGCCCGAGAAGGAGACCCAGGAAGTCCTCCCCCAAGACGAGAAGGAGACCCAGAAGTCCCCCAAGAGCCCGAGAAGGAGACCAGGAAGTCCCCCAAGAGCCGAGAAGGAGACCCGAAGTCCCCCAAGAGCCCGAGAAGGAGACCAGGAAGTCCCCCAAGAGCCCGAGAAGGAGACCCAGGAAGTCCCCCAAGAGCCCGAGAAGGAGACCCAGGAAGTCCCCAAGAGCCCGAGAAGGAGACCCAGAAGTCCCCAAGAGCCGAGAAGGAGACCCAGGAAGTCCCAAGAGGCCGAGAAGGAGACCCAGGAAGTCCCCCAAGAACCCCCAGGAAGTCCCCCAAGAGCCGAGAAGGAGACCCAGGAAGTCCCCCCAAGAGCCCGAGAAGGAGACCCAGGAAGTCCCCCAAGAGCCGAGAAGGAGACCCAGGAAGTCCCCCAAGAGCCCGAGAAGGAGACCCAGGAAGTCCCCCAAGCCGAGAAGGAGACCCAGGAAGTCCCAAGAGCGAGAAGGACCCCAGGAAGTCCCCCAAGAGCCGAGAAGGAGACCCAGGAAGTCCAGAAGGAGACCCAGGAGTCCCAAGAGCCGAGAAGGAGGAAGTCCCGGAAGTCCCCCAAGGAGCCCCGAGAAGGAGACCCAGGAAGTCCCCCAAGAGCCGAGAAGGAGACCCAGGAAGTCCCCAAGAGCCCGAGAAGGAGACCCAGGAAGTCCCCCAAGAGCCCGAGAAGGAGACCCAGGAAGTCCCCAAGAGCCCGAGAAGGAGACCCAGGAAGTCCCCGGAACCCCAGAGGAAGGAGACCCCAGGAAGTCATGACCGAGAAGGAGACCAGGAAGTCCCCCAAGAAAGCCCCACCAGGAAGTCCCCCGAGCCGAGAAGGAGACCCAGGAAGTCCCCCAAGAGCCCGAGAAGGAGACCCAGGAAGTCCCCAGAGCCGAGAAGGAGACCAGGAAATCCCCAAGAGCCCGAGAAGGAGACCCAGGAAAGTCCCCCAAGAGCCCCACCCAGAAGTCCCCGAGAAGGAGGACCGACATGCGGGAAAGCTCCATGGCGGACTCCGAGGCTCTCTCCTGCGTGGGGAATAGATAGATAGATAGATATTGATAGATAGACACCTTTCCAACGAGTGGTCGATCAGCTTTTTTTATGGTTCCGTTCTCGAGAGATTTGTATTCTTGGTTTTCCTGGTAGGGAATAGGGGCGTGTATCAGACAATGAGGTCAGTGACTCTGCATATTATTCATATTTTTCCCCAGTGTCCTTGGTACCTCCCATGCTCTCCTCTGTTATCGGGGATAAGAATGTGGGGGTTAGGGAGGTTTTTGCGTTATAATTTCTATACATTTTGATAGTAAAGAGTGGAATCCATGGATATCAAAATTGTCTATTCTGAAAAATTACCGCATTTTCCTTATAGCTCTTGCTGCTTGATCCAAATCTAACATAGAGAAAGAAGTTTCCCCTGTAAATTTACGTTTTCTACGAACAAAATGAAACGCTCCAGTTTTCTTTGGATGTACTATTATCCGGATAAACTGTTTCATATTGATATTTATCAAATTTGGTTTAGTGAAAGATGAATGACAACTAAAATTAGATTTAGGGTAAACATGATTAGGCTACTGATATAGATATTGATGTGAATATGGTAGGTCACACACACACACACACACACACACACACACACACACACACACACACACACACACACACACACACACACACACACACACACACATATATATAATATATATATATATATATATTATATATATATATATATAATAATAGATAGATAGATATAGATAGATAGATAGATAGATAGATAGATAGATAGATATAGATATAGATATAGATATATATAGATATATGTGTGTGTGTGTGTGTGTGTGTGTATCTATCTATATCTATATATATATATATATATATATAATATATATTATATATATATATTTTTTTTTTTTTTTTTTTTTTTTTTTTTTTTTTTTTTTTTTTTTTTTTTTTTTTACCCAAAACAGTGAGATGTTTTGGCCCGCGGACCCAACAATGTATAGGAAGGGGTCATAGCTTTAAAAAATTGTCCATTGTGTCCACGGGATGTGTAATCGTTCCGTCCTTGTGCCTCAAAACTCATTATTCCTCATTCACGTTTGCATTACCACGCTTTCGGATACTCATGGCCCAAGGGATATCTATTATCTGAGTGAAGTGATTGGATATCTTTAAGTGTTTAGCGGGATATCCTTGACACTCCCTCTTGACGTGATGGAAGTGAATCGGAAAACAAACTTGGCAAGCCATTCTTGACCTGGATTTTCTCTCTTTACCTGATCAGTCAGTCTTTACAGTCGCTGTCTATGTCCCTGATTTCTCTCTCTTGTCGATTCTCCTCTCCTCTCTCTTCCTCTTGTTCTCACGCTCTCTCAGTCTCACTCCTGAGTCGGTCTTCTCTCTCTTAACTCTCTTTTACTCTATTTCTCTATTTTTCTATTTCTCTTTGTCCCTCTCGCCCTCCCTGTCCGATTCTCTCTCTTTCTCTCTATCTGTTACTTGTCTCTCTCTCTGTTCCTGTCTCTATCTGTTTCTCTGTCTCCGGACTCTCTCTGTCTCTTTTCTCTCTGTTTCTTTTCTCTCTGTCTCCTTTCTCTGTCTCCTTCTCTCTCCTTCTCTGTCTCCTTTCTGTCTCCTTCACTCTCTCTCCCTCTCTCTCTCTCTCTCCCTCCCTCCCTCTCTCCCTCTCTCTCGATTGCACACCCCGTGGACACGATGGACAAATTTCTAAAGCTATGTCCCCTTCCTACACATTGCTGGGTCCCCGAGCAGGCCCAACAATCTCACTGTTTTGGGGTAAAAAATTAAAAAGTCCCACGTTTTGTTATTGTGGATTTCCATTTTTGTAATCATCAATTTTGGATAGTGAATTTTTGATTTTGTATCAGATGAAAAGGTGGTCACTCACGCATCTGATCGTAGAGCTATGCACAGTTGTTCAGCCAGCCTAGTCGTTGGAACACTAGGACGTCGTTCACACCACTCCTTTGGCTGGTACGGAGTTTTTGGAATTCATTTTGGAACGCGAAGGGTTAAATTTGGCAATATTTTGCGTCAGCCAAAGGGAGGGTGTCTTGCCTATCGCTGTAGTCAGTCGAATATAACTAAGATGTCATCTAATAGTCTGTTTGGTCCTTTGTCTATCATTTAAGGTTACAAAAAAAATGGTTCCGTTCTCGAGAGATTTGTGTTCTCCAAAAGTGGCACCAGTGTATGTATATGTATCCCACCTTGGGCGATTTGAACCCCTCTATATCTCAGCTTCTACAACGCCGATCCCAATGGGGTTTGTCGGGGTTGAAGATTGGCCGACTACACCCAGGCCCCGAATGGCCAAGTCGGGAAGCCTGTTCGGTAGGAACCCGAAAACCAGCTAAGTTGCAGTTGTGTATTCCTGCTCTGGCCCTGTAGCGTCAGACGGCGATTCTTATACGTTGTGTTACGTACGTTTGGAGTAAATGGTCTGTTGCTTGCAAGTAGATTGGAGCTTGTTGAAGGGGGACACCCCCCCCACACACACACCCCCCTTCTGTAGAGAAATATATGCATATATACCTATATACACATATGGACAAATATAGACACATATACACACATATACACACATACATACACACACACACACATACACACATATACACACACATACACACACATACACACACATACACATATACACATATATACACATACACATATATACATATTTGGAGTAGAGTCGAGTCGTGGTGAACAAGTGAAGTAACGTTGAATAGGAAATGAAGTTGCCTCTTGGCCCTGTAGCCGATTATCCGTGATTTATCATTACATTTAGTACAGTTAAAAATAGTTTCAATAGCATATATAACCATGAAGAACGAGAGACATTTGGTTGAACAGAGAACAACACTGAATATCAGTAATAATAACAGTTCTGCTGATCTATAGTCTGGTAATTTTAAAGATTATTGTACCAATGTTTTTTCTAGTCCATATATTTTATTATTGTTTGATAATTTGTGCCAATTCAAGTGTTTACGAATGCATACATGTATGTATGAATATACAGATGTATGCAACATGAAGGTATGTTTAATAAACAGATATGTGTACACACGATTGGTATATAGATTAGATAGATGATAAACCGACTTATAGACAGATAAACAGACATGGATATAAATATAGATAGTGTGTGTATAATTTGAATGTATCTATGCAATATGGGTGAATGAATGTATGTGTGTG